AAATTAGGAAGGCCCTCGTAAGAGCGTCTGCCTGCCTAAGCTTTGGCAGGGCCCTTTGGAAGGCTTGTAGTAGAATATGCCTATCTACCGCAGGATCGCGGGAGATTTCAATTAGGCATTTTAAAGTAGAGGAGAAAACATCCTCGGAGTCTCCACTTTCTACTTGAGTAACCGGGGAAGCTATTTGAGGCACATTCGCCATAGCCGCCGGATTTGGACCCTGATTTTTGGGTCGGGGCTCTGTAGGTCCTTTACCTAGGGTCGCTGCATAAGACAGCGAGCTTGTGTCTTTTTTTAGGTGCAGTCACAGTGGCTGGTTGTACAGCTTTTGCTGGGGTGTTTGTAGTAGTTCCCTGAGGGGGGGCTGCAGGAGCAGCTGCCCTAGGAGCATTCTTTTTTGAGCTCTTTTTGTTATTACCTGGGTAACGAGGACAAGATTTAAAGGACGCTGGGTGACTACCTCCACAGTTGCAGCAGCAGCAAGCAGGTTGATCGTCACTTAATGTGCAATCTTTTGCCCAGTGCGGGCCAGCGCATCTCACACAACGGATGTTAAGGGTGCAAGTTTCAGAGGAATGAAAAAATCCTTGGCACCTAAAGCATTGAGTAGGGCCTTTACGGCCTCTGTAAGCCTCAAATTTGACCTCAGCGCCCCACATATCGGTGACACTGTACAGTTGGTCTATGAAGGGGGATGAGGTCGGACTTGTATGTAAACAAGTGGCATAGGGTGTCTAGTGCGCGGTTTAGTCAACCGGGCGCACCTATGCACTTGGAAACCCCATGATTCCACTTCATTTTTGACGTCCTCGATTTCAGTTTCTTTAGGGAGGCCTCTGATAACAATTTTGATAGGCCTGTCCTGCTTTAGATCAAAAGTCTTGAATTGGATGCCGGCCTGCCGCCTCCATTGTGTAACTTCCCTAAATTCTAGTTCTGTTTGAACAAATAATTTAAGAAAAGGTCTAGTGAGAATGCACTTGATATTAGGGGCAATTTCTAACAGGAAAGTCATCTTCGTTCTCCACTGTTTGCTGCTCTTAACGTGAATAGCCGAAATGGAGGTTTGCTGTGGAGGGAGGGGGGAGCGCTCTGTGACTGCGCCGAACTAGTTTCTCCTCCGGAAGTTCCCTCGTTAGCAAGGGGGGTGATCGTAGAGCTTCCCTTGGTGGGACTGTGACCGCTGTCTAAGAGGGTTTCTTTAATTCTCTCATATTTGTTTTTAGAGGCAATATTTTTTTATTCTGTAGTTACATGAGTAGGGTTACTATCATCAATTGTAATGATTTCTGGAGTTTTCCCCTGTTTGCGTGATGCGAGGGTAATAAGGCCCTCCAAATCTACGCTCGCAGTCTTTCTTTTTCTGCTGGAGGCAGTAATGGTATCTTGAGCCGAAGGAGTCGAAACTGGTCTATCCGCTTGCATCTTTACGCTATGCGTGCGAGAAACAGGTTTCAAGCAACGAGATAGTATACTGGTAGAGAGCGTTCCGGTTCCAACATTAGTGTCACGTGACTGCTGCGCAAATTCCGAAAGTCCGGAATTACTTTACATTGCTTTCTATGGGACGAAAGACTGCTGCTCTGCTTGGTGATATAAAATTTAAGAAAAAATGGTTATTCGCTGCAGCGCCTACGGATGTAACGAAAGTTTCGTGAAAAGGAGGACCTGTAACCTTTCATAGGTAAAGTTAAAACCTGCAATGATTTATTATTCTATTTTTCAGTATTTTTGCTCATTTTACTATCTCTGTTGAATTGGTTAGAAAGTTTCAGGCGATATTGTATAAGAAAATTGCCGCTGTATATGACATTTTCAGCATGTATTATTAGCATCAAAATGTATTAAAAATACTGTGACACTATTTACTGGAATCACCCTTTACAAAGTAATTGAAATTTTATAATTCTTTTTCCGTGTATTCCGTTGAAATAGAAAGCTGCGCCAATTGGCGTTAACCTTTTTCCGCCAAGTCGTACGCGTTTTGATTTCATAAACAATTACTGCCTGCGATAAAAAAGAAAAATGCTATTATTAGCATTAAATTATTGAGAAAAGATTGTGCGATATATTTACTTTGTTAAAAAAAAAAAAAAAGCTGAAGATCTTGATTCATGCAACATTGAACATAAACAGTTAAACAGCATTATTTTAAAAATCAGATTACTTTTATAAAGCTCTATGCTTTATCATTATTTTCTATAAAATCAATTAAAATAAAAATAATCTGGATTATAATTCTGTCTCATCTACGATGCTGTTAGAAATTTATTATAATTGAAAAAATGTGATGTGAAAAACTTACCATATTTTAAATAGTATTTAAAAAAAAAAAAAAGGAGAGTGAGAGAATTTTTAAAACTGTAATATCGTTTTGATCCTAATAAATAATCTCAAGTAATATAGAATAATAAACTAGTAATATAATCTCAAGAAAAGAGAGGCAATCAATGGCATAAATACATATAATACAATGTGATTTTCTTTTTCTCTTTAGGATGCAATGCATTAAAATTAAACGAGATTTTTTTACCTTCTAAATATTATAATAGTAGTGCAATTAATTTTTTAACGTTATTCAAAATTAAAGTTTCCATCTCAATTTTTTTATTATTTATTTTAGATTTTCTTCCTAAAATTATTTAACCTAAACATCTTAAACAATGGTGCAAATAATTTAAAGCGATTATTAAAAATATAGATAAAATATTCAGGAAAAAGGGGTTAAGTTATATCTAAATATAATTGTAAAAAATCGAACAACCTAATTCGAGGCCGTTGTCTGCTGCTGCTATCAGACGGAAATAAAAAGCACTACCTGCCATAACAAAAGCGGGCCAAACTGGCGATGAACAGCCTAAGCTATCACTCCCCAAGAGCACCAAGAGCATTAGTCACGTGGTATATGTTGGAGACACCCTAGCAGACGTCTACCTGTTATATGAAGTCGTTGGTTTCAAGTTGTCTTTGAGTTTCTCCTTACAGAGAAGAGCTTCTTTATCGGTGGCCATTTTGGCAATTTTCTCGCTATCTAATTATTGCTGGAATTCTTGTAAGGTGGCAGGGAGTTGAAATATCTGTACATTAAGTCGGTTTGCGATGTCGTTGATCTTATTAAAGTGTCTTTACCCGGTAGGTTTAGTTGTTGGTATCCAGAAGCACCCAGGGGAGGTCCAGTCCGTTTTAGAATCATTTTCTGCTGTTGATTGGCTTCAAACTGAGTTTTGAATCCATAAAATTCAATAATAAGATGAGTTCGTTCGTCTTGGGTATTATCATCAGATAGATTGCTCTCTGTACACGATTGCATATTTGGAGTATCCAAAGGTAAAGCATTTGTTTGCGAAGAATCACAAAATTCCATGGATGAAGGCTGTGTCGGCGGGATCTCGCAAAGCGAGCGACCGTCCTCATCCGCGTCCATACTTGGAATCCCAATCAAATGTTTTTTATTTACTAATACATATGAAACATTCTAGAACATTCATTATCATGTGATTTCTTCCTTCTGTAATTATCTTATCAGATCTATTTCGATAACATTATGTTTTCTGGATGACGTCAATTACCTTAGCAAAATTACTCAGTTAAGGTTAAACAAGCAGACTACTTACTAAGATAATAAACACATAATTAGGCAAAGAATGGTCTATCATTTAGAATTATACATATACATGTTATTAATCGCTAAGAACTCAAATGAAAGTTTAACATGTTTAACACGTTTTATAGCTTTTAACACTGTTTAAAAATAGAAAAGCACTCCCAAATGTTTATACAAAATCACATTACCCGATATAGTTTTCAAAACTTTAACCCAATTCCTGTTAGTAGGTTTATCAACAACAGATTGTTTTAACCAATGAGGAAAGGTATTTTAATGTTTTCCTAAATTTACCACATTTATCCAGTTCCCATATTCATAAAAATAAGCAATATTGAAAACAATAAGAGTAGAAACATCACTATTTCAGAATTTAGGAAGAGATATTCAATAATAAGAGCGAAAATGTACTGAACTTCATGCAAGATTTTTTCATTTCATACCAAACATTTCACTCTTTCGTAGATTATTAAAATATATCCCACTCTTTTTCAAAGAATATATACCATTTCGCATTAATTAGAGAGTGCCATGCGTGGTTAATTGCAGGTTTTTACTGAATGATACTAACACTTTCAAGAAAAAATCAAATATTTTCCATCCTTTATGAAAATTTCTGAATTATAACGACATGTCATAAAAGTTTGAAGACTTCATGTGCTACGAAGCAGCTTAAAAAATATAAAAATATTTTCAAAATATCAGTTCCCATAGAAAATTTTAAGATATTCTCATATAAAATTATATTACTTTAGTCGAACTTGAAAACAAGTTAACCAACCAGATTTATCACAATTTGATACATTTCAACCACTTTTCTGAAACTGGGATATATGCATTACGTAACATCAGAGGCGTAGCTAAGGTTTAGACAACTGAAGATTTTGCGCCCCTTTCTGTGTGGCACGAATGGAAAACACTTCATTCTAAAATTTCGTACCATCAATTTGGCGCCCCCTGGATGTTGCGCCCAGGGACAGATGTTACCCTCTTCCCCAAATTCAGAATGTTAATTTTGAGGTCGTCAAATATTTTTTTTAAAGCAGCCAAAGTATGTAATTATATCTTATATTATATCTTATATATATATATTTTATATGTTACTAGGCGTGAATATTGATCGGCCTTAACGCCAAAAAGGGGAGAAACAGCTTGTTATGGTAAACCACGTTATGGTTGTCATCCAATGACGTACTTCCTCTAGGAGGACAGCGTGATACTTTTCCCCTGCTAAGGGATTATCCGTAGCAGCAGATGAGGTTACGTATTCGGAAAATATTAGTACGCTTGCTGTTTGCTTATCAAGCAAAGAGTATTAAATTAGAAATAGCACGTAATTGAATAAAATATAAAATATTGATAATATAGGTAAAAATAAGTGTCTTGTACCTGTAAATATTTATTTAAAAGCAAACGTTTTTTGGCAACACTTTGCTTTGTGCAGTTACGTTTTAACGAGGATGTCAACAAATTGGCGATATTAAAGAGCATTTCATGTGAATTATTACCTGTTTATCTCAAAAATTAGAATGCCACCTTCAAGTGGTTCCGAAGAAAGTTCAAGCCCTCGTAAATTGAGCCCATTTGTATTTTGGGCTCAAACGCAAAACAAGATTTCACTTCGTATCAGTCTGCATGATGTTTCGGTAAACTATTAATATAATTGTTATATTATGTGAGAAATGCACGTAGTACCAGGTTTTAACCTGAATATTTGATAGGTAATAATCTGAGGTGAGAGGTGGGTTTCATCTGAGAAAAATTTTATTAAAATTTGTTCTCTTACCATCGTAAGTCGTGATTTTCACGTAAACAAACGATATGGGTATTGATGTTATTTGCATGCTTTTAATGCGTAAAAATTTCAGTTCGGTCGTTTCTTAATGATCGATGTTATACAGTAAATTTATATTTTGTACTGTTTCTGTTGACTCTCAAATCGCTATTTTTCATATCCCGAGGAAAATATTAATGCGTACAAATAAATCCTTCTGAAAAGTGATTTTTATAAGAAATGAAACAGTACTGCTGCTTAAAAATAGTTCAGAAAATTTAGCAGAAGAAATTTGTTTTCCGATCCGGCACAGCTTTAGTATTAGTCCTTTTTGGCAAGAAATTTGTTTGGCAACATTTTGGAGCGATAAATGAAAAATTATGATAACCTTGGTAACCCTAAATACTGAGCTTCAAACGTGCCGCCATTTCTGTCCACGTAACGAATTTGATAGGTATCAGAGCTTTGATGGCAGGAAAGATAAATTGTGTGTTTTTCTTAAAGTTACTTTTGTGTTAGGAAAGCACAACATTTAAATTTTTTTTAAAAAAGCCAAATTTTTGATAATTAAAACTGGTGCTTTTAATATTACATCACATGAGTCTTAACATTTTTTCATATGTCAACTCTGCATATTCTTATAAACTCCACCCCCCCAAGGAAAAAAAAAACACATTTTCAGTAGCATGAGGTAAACTCTTGGTGTTTTCTTTCCTAAGGAGATCAAAATTACCATGGTCTAAAAATACTTATTTACCTCATATTAGAACTAAAGGGATGTGTAATTGCATGAATTCATAGGTTCAAATCAAGACCAAAATCAGGTTTCATTATTGCTTTTATAACATTTTCATAATTTGTCTGACTATAAAAAATATAATGTTTGCTTAGATTATGGAATATATTGCTTATAATTTAGAGTTCTCAAATTTTGTAAATCTTAAAACCTAACAGCTGTATGTGAATAACCTTCACTGAGTATTATTACTTTTATTAATAGTATGTTTGACATAACAGTTGACTTTTTATTTTAAATTTTTGCAAATTTTCTACATTACTTAACATTTTATCTAACATAAATCTGAATTTTTTGTAATAAAACTCTATAATAAAAGTAAGAGTACAATTTATATATAAAAATTTGACTACATGGGAAGCACTTAATACTGATTTCAGTGTCTTTAAATGTTATTATCATAAAGTTTAGATATATTCTTATTAAGTTAAGATATACTTTTATTCTATAATAAAGTTTAGATGTACAGAACAGAAGGCACACTTTGTGCTTATGACTCAGTCAACCACTTGTGACATGATAACAATTAAGTCAAATATAAAATTTAAATTCAAATAAACTTGTAGCCAAAGACCACACAAATCAATTTAATGCTAAAGAACCAAAGACTAATTAATCAATTTAATAATTAAATCAATTTAAGTTTATTCAAAACTTAACCGACATGGAATTCAACTATCAGCAATTATAATGCAAGACTATAAATTTTATCTCATCTAGCAACCTAGTAATGTGGCCTCAAAATGCAAAACATAGTTTGTTTTACAAACTAAAAACTTCATTTGGAATTCCGGTGTTAACACTGATGGGGAAATTAACAGTAAAGATCCTAAACATAAAATAACTCTGGTTACAAAATAAAGGAACATTAAATTTTACTTTGCTCCCTGATTAATTATTCACTACATGAAATAGTGTAATGCATTTTTGTATTTAGTTTATTTAAATGCTTTCCAAAACTGACAGGATTTTGCAAATATATTGACCATATTTTTTGACCTATAGATGCAACACTTCTTCTCTTCAGAAGTAAGATTTAGAATAAAGAAATAAGAAAATAAGAGAGAATTATGAATAGAAAATAAATACATATGCTGGCTAGCAGAAGAAGGATGCCTTCATAAAGTACTTTTTAAGAGAAACTGGCTCAGATTCACATTACATCTATGGAAAACTACTAAAACTCCCATATAGCCAGCCTGAACTACCACTGTTCAGTGGCTATCACTCCACCACTAGTGGATTCCAATGACTGTTCGAATTTTTCACAGAAATTATCATTTACGATGATTGTTGTATTATTACCATTGGTACAAAATTTACTCATTATGATAATTTAATTTTAGCTTTTAAATTGTAATCATAAATTACTTGTAATAAATTGAGGATTAAAAAATAAGCACTTCTAATATTTTTAATTCCATTTACAAAATTTAATCATAAAAAATATTTCTAACACTGGTACAAAACTTGCCCATTATAATTGATTTGTTTTCCTTCAGTTTGAAATATTTTTTTATTTTCTTTTAATAACAGCATCTAAGAAACTAAAGTAACATATACTAGTTTGAAATGCATTTTTTAACCTTTTGTAAATTTCATTATTCATAAACATAAAATTACCTTTTGTAAATTTCATTATTCATAAACATAAAAATTAACCTTTTGTAAATTTCATTATTCATAAACATAAAAATTAACCTTTTGTAAATGTAAAATATTAGCTAAGTACTAATATAAAAAAATATAAATATGAACTAACTACTTAAAATATAATGTTTAATACATTATATTTTGTAATTAAAAATATTAACATTTGTAAATTTCATTACTCATAACATAATAATTGTCATAAATTCATTTACAGTAGTGTTTCAAGAATTTATCATAGCAGTACTTGAAATATTGAAATTAGAGAAAGACTGTTTATTTCTGATTAAGAGAGCTTATTTTTTAGGATTGTTATTTAGTCTAGATCGGGTTTTGTTGACAATCCGCCATTTTTTTCCGATCTTCAAAACCGGGTCTACCTTGGCGACCGAAGTTTGTCGCCAAATAAAAAAATCGCCAAAAGGACCAATACTAAAGCTGTTCCAAAGATCCAAAATATATATTGAGTATATTAATTTAGCTTAAAGTATTAAATTAATTAAAATTTAGGAAAACTTTTTTAAGAATTTGCACTGAATACTAGGTCCATCTTCTAATAATAATATTTTAATTTACTGAACTTCATTGTACTTATTATTGTCAATAGTCGGAATCCTATAATGATAACAAAATGCGCCATCAGTATCGTAAATTAGACCTTAAATTTAAAAAAAATATGCTGGTCCTCTCAATGCTATTCTGTAGAATCGGACATGTTAAAAAAACTGCAGTATTATATGTAAATAATATAAATATTGAAATTTAAATTTATAATAAGTGAAGGAAAAAATAAAGTAGAAAACCAGGCATAACATCAGAAATTGAGAAAAAATAATTTTTACCATTCTGTCTATTTAATGAAATTACAGGTTGTGTTTATTATAGCTGTTTCCTTTGTATTTATTAAGGATGAAATTTAGTGTTCATTTTTTTAGAACACAGAGTTTTAAGCTCAAGTTGTTTGTTGATTATAAATAAATAAATAAAAAGTTTATTTATTTGTAACTTGAATATTTCTGTTTGGAGCTAAAATTTTGCTATTTATGATTGTTTATATATCTACTTTTAGATTGCATAAGGTTTTTGTATCAGGATGGAAAAAAATCGCCAGAAAAAGCAACTTCTTCCAATATGGAAAGAATTTTTTTTTTTATTAAATTTTACGTTTTATTCATATACTTGATTATTTAATTTGCAAGTAATATTATAAAATTTTAAATTTTAACAATTTGACTTAATTTCTGTAATTTGTTTAATTAAAATTGAAATTTATTTAAATTTATAAAATTTTGTTTAATTTTTCATTCTCTGAGAAAAAATTAGACTTGTAGTTTGAAATATTTATTTATTGTATATCTATATGTATATATAAAATAAACAAACATTTTATGTATGCAGAAAGATTAAATGTTTATTTGTTTAAATTAATATGGAAAGGTATTGTATATTAGGTTAAATGAGATAAAACAAATTAAATTATATTTGAAACTACTCTCCTATATGCCCTTGGCTGGCAACTCGCCAAACATTTTTGGGGAGAAACTCTATGCCGCCATATTACTACCTAAAATTTTTACATTTCAAACTTCAAGCCTAAAATGTCTGCAAAAATGCGATTTTCGCGCATGCAAAAACCACATTTTGAACACACAATTTAAGCTAAAAATCCGAAACAAAAATTTTAGTTAACAAAAACATAAATTTTCTAACCAAAAATATTTGACAAGTGTCCATGTACACAGCGATATGTTTTAACTTAAAAAAACATTACAGAATAGCACAATCTATGTAGGGAAGGAATCAACGAACTATGCACACCTAGCTCAAATAAATTAACAACAATAAATTTCAAAGAATACCATGTACATTTGTTTAAACTTAAAAAAACATATATTTAAATATTGTGCTTTACATTTATGATATATAATTGAAAAATGTTTTGTGTTTAGGCTTATATATTACTTTAGAGATGCAGTGTCAAGAAGAAACTTTTATTTGAATTATAAGAAAAATTTGTCACAATAGTAATAAAAAGTTCAAAGCTACTGAAAAGCTTAAAATTAAATGCTATGAATCCCTTCTCAATATTTAGTTTACAGAAATACAGAAGCATGGTTCAGAGTACATCAAGCCTTAAGTCTGGAGAACTTATTAAAAACAATATTTAAGGTAAACCTTAGAAGAAAAGTAAGCTGAGTTAGAGAAAGAGGATGTAGTATCCTTAATTAGTAAAGCATTTAAAATAGTGATAAATCTCTACTCTCGTCCTTCCATTTCCTCACCCCGTAAAAAAATCTATTCAAGTTTATTATTCTGATTAAACATTAGGTTATTTGAACATGTCAAGGTACACAAAGGCTCTCTGCTTAAGAGAAAAGATGACTCCCTAGAGGATTCTGTAGATGTTTTGATTAAAATTTGTAGCTAATTTTGCAGTTGTATAATTTAGGATTTGTTATTTTTAAATTTTTATTTATTATTTTTTGCTTGTTTGTTTCATTGTGATATGATCTGCTATAATTAAATTTAAGGGACTTTATGAAAGTTCCATGTATTTACTGAAAACATCTTTGCTATTGCTTCTCATTCTAAAATAATACTTGATGTATAGTATGTTGAATAAAATAATGTTCATGTTTATTATCATTTCATTAGGGAAGTACATTACCTGGGATGAAAACCTATTTCCTGCTTTGAGTTATATCTAGAAACATTCCAGTTTTATATGTATATTATCTGTTTAGTTTGATTTTAAAATCAGATTAAAAACTATTTTTTTCTCTTTTTTAAGACTCCTGTAATTAATACAACTAAGGATGGTATGGAATTTTTTGCCCATGGTGTTGGAGCAAATGAAGGACGAAATGAATATTACTTCAAATTCGTGTTTTTTAAGCATGTCAATCCTGTAAGTATAACTGAAATTTTTATTAGCATTTTTAATTTATATTCTTGGGTGGAAAATCAATTGTTATGAAACAATCTAGCTGAATTTGCCATTAATAAATTGATAAATTCAAAAACGTTGCTTTTCATGTTAATTTGTCCTGTAGTGCTGTGTCGATAATTCCAACTAACTTGTCAATCAACATTTTTTCAATTTCAATAACCTCTCTGTCACTTTCTTCGCTATCGGGAGCGGTATTTTTTGGATTTAGAACTATATTACAGATTTCAATGTCCGTTAATTGATTGATGATTGGCGCGCTGTCATCGCATTTCAAAACTTCTGTTATATCATCTTCATCACTGCTTCTCCACATTTCTTTATAAAATCCATTAATTGTAAAATTTCACTTGTTGTGTGCGACATCCGAAAGCCTTCAAATTGGCAGCTATTATCTTCATCATCCTCATCATGAAGTTCAGATTTTAGTTTTCATAAAATTGTAATTATAACAGCCTACCAAAAAATAATAAGCTGGATCAAATCAGAAAGTTAAGGAACCGTGCAATGTGCTATAATAACTGAAATTTTTGGAATCAGTGAGGTGTAATTTTAGCCTAGCTTAACAGCATTCTCTATACATTATTGGATTTATAGCATGAGACTGGCGACAAAAGACAAAATGTTCCGTTAAATTTTGTCTTGCTTCTATCTCACCCTGAGACAGTTAAGCCTGAATTGTATTAATTTAGTTGTTTATTATATTTAAGTCTAATTCTTGCAAATGCTTAAGGCTTATCTGAGTCCTGAGTAAATAAATTCCCACATATACTTAAGCTTACTAAGGGACAGCGCTAGATATTTTGCCGACTGATACAGTCTCTGCAGGTCTTAAATTCTTCTACCAGGCTCCTCCCTAAGTTCTAAATTTTCCCCGCCCTTTAGTTTTGGGTCCCAATGCTTTCCCTAAATTCTAAAAATTTTATCATCCCTTAATTTTGTTACTCAGTGCTTCTCTTAATTCCAAAAATTTTGTCTCCCTATTCTGCCACTTGTGCATCAGCGAGCTCTGGCTCGGTTCTGGTTATTGAATAAAAACATTACAGCTTAATTATCTTTGGTATATACATTATTAACCCCGAGCACATCGGTTGGAGTACCCATTGCATTTTTTCTTTTTGTATATTTCTCGCCCATTATTCATAAAAGGACGAAACTTGGTGTAGCTGAGTTCAAGGTCACATACTTAAATGGGGGAAATTCCTGAGGTGGCAAGTGCAAACGGTTTTTTAGGACCAGCATTGTTCGGGCATGTCATACCCCGTGCGTGTACTGGCGTTTTTCTCAGTGAGTCACTTCGCACTTCTCGTTTTCAAGCTTTTAGTATAAGTTTTTCTTGAGTTGTAAGCATGGCGCCGTATATTCCTTACGATGAAGAGATGAAAAGATTGAGAAATCTCCTTGAAACAGTTTCTTCTGATGAGGATTCATTTAGTGAAGAAGAGGAAGATGTTGATGACGAAGAATATAATTAGTAATCATGATTCATCCATACAGAGTAGTGATTCAGATACAGAAACAGAAAATGAAACTCTGGAATGTAGCAATGAGTTTTATGTTGGAAAAAATGGAGTAAAATGGAACAAAAAATAAATTCCGGACTAATGTTAGAATTGGCGCCAAAAATATTATAACTAAACTCCCTGGAAATACAAAGTATTCTAAAGACGTCTCAACACCTCTAGAGTCCTTGTCATTGCTTATCGATGAAGATATGTTAAAACATGTAGTTGATAATACAAATATTTATATTGATTCAATACGAGAAAATTTCACTCGTGAACGGGATGAGTACTTTTCTCAAAGCCTTAGGGATGCAGCTAATAGAAAATGTTCAAAATGAACGACGACGAGCATCTGTGGTTCCTGATTCTGGACGAACACTGACCACCGATGAACATGTTAACAATGGACCGCCCTCCAAAAAACCTAAAATGACTTACAAGAGGTGTACAGAGTGCTCCAAGAAAAAAGATAGAAAGACTAGATTCATTTGTGAAAATTGTAGCAAAAGTATATGTATGGAACATATGACCTCATTTTGTAAACAATGTTCAAAAAATTGTAAGTAAATAATTTTTTCCTCTCCTTATTGTTTCCTATTTTGTCTAAAATGAAGTATTAACTTGGTTTTACATTTAATTTCTTTTAAAAAACGATTAATTTTTTTTACAAATTTTTAATTACAATTTTTTTATTCGGGTATGACATACCCGGCTCGTGTTCGTCGGATCGGTGCATGTGCTCGCAGGTTAACAAAATTTATTTTTAGCCTATGAAAAGAAATTTTTAGTTCAAAGGAGCTTTGTCCCTGAAGAACTATTGTTTTCGTTATGCAGTTTTGCTTTTCAAACTGTTGCCCCAAATGTTAGAGTCCTGCGTTATATTTAAAGAAATTGGCTCTACTCTCATATGCACCCTGAGATCGCCAAATGTGGCAATATGTGTTTTGCGCTGGTTTTTGGTGCAATTGCGTGTTGTATGGCAACCCTTTTCACATTGAAAATTCTTTTGCTGGAGTGGTTTAATTGCTTGTTGGTTCGTGTTGTGCATGTTTTGAAATGGCTTTTGTTGCAATGATAGACATGGTGGCAAGATTTCAGTCGCATATTTTAGATTCTGTGGAAATTAAATTTAGTATTAAAAGGTATGATGCTGGAGTTGTTAACGAGTCTTTTGTTCATGGGTGTGTTTATGAGG